GCAGCTTGGGTTTGTGTGACTCTGCACCCTCGGAACTCAGAGAATATTTCATGTGAGGGTAGCTGGATTGTTGGGGCAGGAAGGGGTGAGGAGCATTGAAATTGGCTGACACCAAATAAGGGACCAAAATCTGAGAGGAGCTTCTCTGAGATCGCTCGATCTGGCACTCCTGTGTCCTCCCAGCCTGAGATTCCAGAGGCACAGAGCTCAGCCTCATTTGCAAAGAATAACCATTATGAGATCAGGCCAGAGCAGGTGGGACTTTTCTTGTTTTGCACAATTAAGGATTACTGTTGAAAAAGAAATGTTTGCAGTCACGTGAACAAAACAGTTGCTGTGGACATCTGTGGTCATGGAATCTGATTCTTGTTACATAAGAACTCTCCTCTTGATAACAGGGGTTGAAATGAGAGTCTAGATATTTCTTCCTTACAAGAAGAGGTTTACTGGTCTTTTGTAGTAATTATATACGTTCATTGCAGGGGAAATGAGAGCAATTCAAAAAGGAACAAAGCATATTTCAAAATGCCAAGATAGAACCACAGTTTGATTATCCTTCGAGATAAATGGCTCTCTATGGAGATCTGCACATAACTGAAAACAAAGGAAATCTTGTCTTATATGCTATTCTGTAGTTTGGTTTTATTTACTCACTATCAAGTCTTGGAGTGGCTTCTATCACCGTATCTATAGACCTAACCACCGTTTTAATGGCTTTATTGTGAGTGCTCCGTTATTTCTATGTATCATAGTTTCTTTATGGGAATGTTTCTTTTTTGTAACATTATATTGGTTGGTAACTGCTGAGTGAAAACACGTCTGTCCAGGCTGGCAGGAGACTCTGAGGAAGAGTGGCTCCAGGAGGAAATGGGCTCTGCTGCCGAGTCTCTGATCCTGTCTTCCAGGAACATCACGCTCATTGCCCAAAAGCTCCATCTTCGGCCGGAATGTCAGAGCCACCAGGAGGAGCTAGTGACCACAGCTCAGCAGATCCTGGTGGCCACCACGAAGGTGAGGCTGATGTCAGGGCTGGCTGGCTGGCTGGCTGGTCTGGACAGAGTGCTCATTGCTGGGAAGCATGGACCTGGCATGTCATTCCCACAACGGGTGCCTACCCCAGAGAGGGGAAGCTGCCCGAGTTTATGCCAAGATCACAGACACAGAGTTCATTACCAATTTACTAATAAATGCTAAATGTGGAAGCTACCATAGGATGCTGGGTAGACATACTGAGTTAGAGTCTGTGATCTTAAACCCACATGTGACCCCCTCATCCCCTACACTTGGCCACCAACCCCTAATAATAAAGGGGTGATCTCACCCTACCCATGGCCAGAAGCTATAGGGAGAAGGTATTGAAACTTCTGCAACTCTTAGCCTATTTGGCTAACCTGTTGTGCTGACCTGTGGCTGAGAGGATCTCAGGGGCCAGGATAATCCCTCAGCCTGCAAACACTCCCCATTCTCCCTCCTGGCATTCCACCATCTGGCACAACTCTTTCAGCTGGGACATTGCTTTCTGTTAGAATCTATATGCCTTAAATATTATCTAGTATTAACGTATTAATAATGTTCATCATTAAAACTTCAGTAGTGTGGCTTATTATGGGGGGCTGTATTGGTAGTTTAACAGATCCTCAGTAAAGTAAGATCGGACACGGGGAGATGAGAGAGGCAGACCCGGAGGGCTTTGGCACCTGCTGATGGGTGGAAGAGAGGGCATGCCCTGGGCAGTGGTTGGGTACCAGCTCTGTTGAAGGGGATGGACAGAGGCGTCTGGGAGCAGCAGAGTCAGACTAGGAAAGGTTTCTCAGAGGCACTTTGGGAGAGGCCATCTCTCCAGCCTCCATCATCCTCATGCAAATAGTAAGTCCTTCCTAAACACCCTGTCGTTTGTGATGCGGTGCTAACCATGTAGACGGCTGGCTGCTCCTCCTCCAATCAGGAGAGATGGGCGCTTCAAAGCCAGACTGGACCCCACATTAAGTGTAGCCCAATTCGGGGGTCTCATATTTTCAGTTAAGCCAAGTGCTTTCTTTAATCGTCACTCGTAGGTGACATTATCGTTGTTGTTAGCTCTGGGAGTCTGCACTCTTCGGTCTTTTGAAGGATGTTTGCTTATACAGCGGGGATGGGGGTGGTGAGGAAGCTGCCATTGCTCTCGCTGCGGCTCCAGAAACCGTTTTCCTGCTTCTCCTCCCCTGATTGCTCGAATAGGTCCTGCTCCTGGAAGACGCTGCGATGGCCAGGA